CTGCTCGCATAATCAAGTGAGCGGGCACTCTGCTGACCTTTAATCAAGTGCGCAGATATTCTATTATATATGTAGCCAAAAGTGCCGGCAAACCTGGACTTCTTCAATTAATTGTATTGGAAAAGTGCACATTTTTTTTTTTATTTCACGCCTTTCAGAATAAAAAGCCCAAACAAACTCGAAGTAAAAGCAGAACGAAAAACACTACTGGATTCATGGCGATTTTATGACCCAAAAGGCCCGATACCTGGCGATCGCTCGATTCCAGGCATTGGAATGCCCGGTTCTGGGTCGGATTTTCAGGTCATTTTTTTGTGCATGGAGATCGACATTTTGTGATCACAGCACAGAAACAGGTCTCGAGCAAGTATACTAAGTAAATAAAGTTTCAGCGTTTTATCACATATTTGGGTATCCCGGTGATTGATATGAAACTGGAAAGTGCCCCTATCTACACCTATATGCTCTATCACACAATGTATGAAATTCCGTGGTTCCTGGACAATTTTGTTGATGAAAATTACGATGCGCTGTCCGCTGTTGGCCAACTCTGGCTTGAAATCGGTCGGGATTTAGCGGACAGTCTGGTTTGTTTGCGTTTTTTCCAGAAAATCTGTTTGTTTTATTGAACCAAGCTTATTGCTGGGTTGGCAACATTCTCCTGATAAGCTGGCGCACTTTCTTTGACTATAAACTCTGAAAGATTTCTAGGTTGCGAAACCGTGGGGTTGATTTCTTTTAGGTCATCCTGTGTGTCATTCTAGCTATGTAGGTTAGCTGAAAGAATGGAGCTTCATTTTCGGCGGGTTAACGTGAAAATGATTATGCTTCGTCAATGTCCATCTAGGGAGTTCCACAAAAATCGAATATGAAGGAGCAGTTATAACATTATTCTTTAAACAGTGCATTGTTTTCTTCAGATAATTCCATTCAATTTACACGACTATGGCCTGGCACTGGCTGACTTTATCAGCAAAATGGATCAGCAACTGGAGCACATTGGGATACCGAATGCAATCGGATTCAGAGCGTATCGTCTTGTTTTGAGTAATTTACGAGGAGCTTTGAAACGCTTTCAAGTTGTTGCAGATGTTGTACAGGAAATTATTCAGGTAATTGTAATAGAAATTATATAAGTATCCACTAAATTTTCATGAAATTTACGTGGTAAGAAGATCACGCGACCCCATAATGCAATATATTTATCCCAACCGACGCGTTCTCCCTTTGCATGAAAGATTTCTAGGTTGCGAAGCTGTGAGGTTAATTTCTTCTAGGTCATTTTGTATT